TTTCAGTGGAAAGTTGAAACTTGAGGGTTGAAAATTTGGAAGAGTAGAAAATGGGCAAACGTGTGGAAAAAATTGGCATGAAGGAAGACTTTGGGAGAGAGAAGGAAGACTTAGGGGAAGGAGAGTTAATACAAGGAGGAAAATTTTGCAACAGGTGGTTGGAATTGTAGAATAAAAGAGAGTAGGAGGCAGAAGGCGAGAGTGCATGAGAGAAGGAGAGAAGGAGAGAAAGAGAGAGAATTAGAGAAAGAGAAAACGAGAGAGGCGCAGAGAAGTTCTGGCATTTTGAAGGATAATACAAGCTTTAGGAATCATCTAGGTACACGAATATAATTCTTTTTATCAAACTTTCTTTATGAATATTTCCTGTATATTTCGAGCTTATTATTTTAAATAATTAGCCTGCGTATTTGTTAACTTTTGTGGATTTAGACTAAATAAACCTAACAAAAAAAAGGTAAACCTTCACTGGGTAACACAAAAAATGCCTTATAAGGAAAATATAATAGCAGCGAGGGATTTTGACCAGTATATGAAATTTCGCAGTATTTACCGAGCAAGTAACCTGTATTTTAGTTTAGGGTGGATCGTCTTGCCCACCAATAGAAAGGAGAGGACTTAAGCTTTTTCTTGCGTGTTCATTAGTAAGGTCTTTTAACAAAAATACAGAAAATAAGATTCAGACTATAAGATTACAGAAAATAATGGCGGGAACACATAATAGCATCTAGATAGGCGATACTATCTCCACTCCTACATATGAGAACTAGTTAACTAATTTAAGTAAATTAAGAAAATAAATTACGTTACTTATTTGTAATAAATATGTATCATCTTTCCTAAAATATCTTTGCTAATCAAATTTATTGGCTAGAACTATCATTATTAAAAGGATTATCTTAAAAAAATAAATACATATTAGAAATAAAGTAGATTGCGGTCTTATATTTAAAACTAAAATAAAAATTAAATGAAGTATTATGTTAAATAACACAGGCAGTATAATATAACATCAACAATTTAAACAGTAGGGCTAATTATGTATTCCTTTATACATCTCTTTTTTTGAAAAATAATGAAGAGCAAATGTAGAAGATGGGGAAAATGTATAGAATGTGTTAATTAATAATAAAATAACCCAACCTCAAAGAAACACAAAAGATGAGCCAAATGAGTGTGTGTGTGTGTGTGTGTAAGAAACACAAAAGATGAGCCGTGTGTGTGTGTGTGTGTGTGTGGTTTACGCTGTTTTAACCTTTTAAAGCAAGAGATCGATCAATCCGAAAATGTAAAACTCAATTCAAGATCCAGCTTTTTTGAAAAAGACGTAATTGAGGTACAACTAGAAAGAATTTTCCATGGATTTGATAGTTTTTTCTTAGTAAAATCTTGATTTCAAATATATGATAGATCTTCGGCCAAAAAATATATATATATATGATAGATAATTGTACGCGTGTCCTCGGTAATTTTTCCGTATATGCTAAACTAATTACGTAAACTATTTAGGATGCTCCCTATGATTTAATTTAATGGCTTTATTAATTAACCTGTAGCTACTATATATATATATATATTGTAATGATAACTTCAAACCTTGCTAAGAACTGTTTTGATTTTGCATTTTTTTTTAATGATTTCTCAGAGAAAATAAATCAAAACTACACAATTTTGGACTATTTTTTTTTAAAAAAATACAAAACCGCGCAGTTCAATCACAGTAATTATATATCAAAACATCTATAATTTTAGCTAATGATTAAAATAAAAAATAGGAGGAATTATTGTTAGGTCCGAATGAAACAGGAAATGACAACACATTTAAAATGCTCACTTGCTTGGGACCTTGTAATAATTCTCCCAAAAAAAAAAAACTGAAAAATTGGGTTACTATAAAAGACATGGGATATCCGCTGTAATGTTTACATTTCTTTGGAAAGGAGAGGACATTTTGTCTGGATGCCATCACTGCATAGTTGTTTCTATCTGCAAAATCTGATGTTAATTAATTTCACATCACTGCTCTTAAAGTTCACACACCATGTGTTCATTGATTGTGCAAACGACCTCTCAGTTGGATAACCATAAATACGGCAATTTAAGAAGTATTGAGATGAAACCAAACTATAATTTAAAAAATAGTTTTTGAAAAATAGGTTCTAAGAAAAATAAATTTTGCGACGAATATATTTTGTGAAAAAATGATTCTGATCAAATGAGAGTGTTTGGATAATTGTTATCAGAAGCATTTTTTACATGTATAAATTACTAAAAAGGGTATAAGTTAATATTATAATTATATAAAGGATATATTTTATAATATATTTTAATTTGAAAAAATAAAATTGTCAATAAAATAATTTTTACTAACATAATTAATAATATATAAGATAATATAATTAATAATTAATTAATATGTGTATATATATTTATAAATTATAAAATTAAATATTTTTATAAAAATGATTTTTTTCTGATAGAAAAATATTAATTTGCCAGGAGCAAAGGACCGAAGGCGGAAGAGAAATGAATAATTGAGAGGTATATGTGTCTGGTCAAAAAAACAAATCTCATATCTGAAAACAAACCATTTGACACTCTCCCATCATTTTCCCAAAAGCATATTCAAAAAGCTTCTCACAAAACTATGATTTTGAAACCAAAACCATGATTACTAATTTCATATGGGTGTTTGGGTAATTTTTTCTACAAACGATGGTTTGGTTTCCCAAATCATAGTTTGGGCAATCACCCAAACACCCTCTTAGCCTAGAAGTATTCAGACAGTGTTTAGGTGAAACAAGAAGCACTTTTAAAAACTGTTTTTATGTTAATCAAGACAAACTTTTTCTTATATATTTATTTCGCATATTGTGAAATTATTTTTAAAATTATAATTTTGTTTTCACTCAAACTCTTCCTTAATCTAGTGGTACCGGTAATCTAGTGGTATAGGGACAAGATGTGCCCATGGTGGCTCTAGGAGCTTGTTCCGTCAGGCTCCATGCCATCATCCAAATCTCCAAAAAAAAAACAAAAAAAGAAATAAAGAAGAAGAAATGAGGCAATTTATGATGAGCATCCCTTTCAAGATATTACTAATAAAATTGAATTGAATTATTCTGATGATATACATATATATTGCTTCTCAATTAAGTTCTCACCTACGGAGATAGATAGTTTACATGTCTTAAGTGCCTTTGATCATAACCTCCACTCCACATTAGAGAGGAAGAGGTCCCACCCACGACTTAATGATTTAGGCTGTGTTTGGGTGACATCCCACCCAAACTATGGTTTGGAGAATAAATCATCCAAACACCCACCCAAAAACCAAAACCATGGTTTTGGAAAAAGCAAAAAATTCTTGCTTTTGGAGAAAAAAGGGAGAGTGTGAGAGCTTATAGGATATATATCTTGTTTTTTTTTTATAAACATTTTTTTTATAAACATATTTAATCTTATATTTTATAAATATATATACATATTAATTATTTATTAATTATATTATCTTATGTATTATTAATTATGTTAATAAAAAATATATTATTAATAATTTTATTTCTTCAAATTAAAATATATCATAAAATTTATTTTTTATGTAATTATCATAAACTTATGTCTTTTTTTTAGTAATTTGTATATATAAAAAGTACTTCTGATAACAACTATCCAAACACTCTCACTTCTCAAAATCACTTTTTTATAAAATCTATTCTTTCCAGAATTTATTCTCCAAAATCACTTTTTCAAACTACTGTTTGGTTTCATCCAAACACACCGTTAGATCTTTGCATTAAATGATGTGTCAGAAGGAAACAAGAAATAAATATGAACAGAAATTGATTAACGTGGTGAAGCCTCCACCACAGGAGAAGAGTACGGATGGAATCACGAGATTCTGTTTGATTTGGTTTGTCTATTTGTTTTATCTTGATAAAATAGACTATCTTAGTAGATGTGGGATTAACACTTTAAATTAGTCTTTTATATTTTCTTATTTATACTTGGTAGGGTGCTATATATAAATTATTTTTTTCATTGTTATCATCTCAGTTTTTCAATTTTTTTACTTGTTTTTGTTTTATTTATTTCATTCGCTTTTTCGTTCTATTTACTTAATTAATAGAAACTTAAAGCATAAAAGAGGATCATTTTCCTCAATTCTTTTGAGCAACAAAGAAGAAACCATAAACACGCATCTATCATATTCACATAAGATTAAACTCATAGCTTCTTTCTTAAACCAAGACTTAAAAAGCTTTTTAGTATCAATTAAACCAAACAGTTTGACATATTATATAGGATTAAGGTATAATTTTAATAACAAATAACACAAAATTAAGTTGGACTAATCTCTGTAAAATTTATTTGAATGTAAAAATATATGTAAACTTTTTAAAATGGGGCAAAAATAACAACACCGTTAAGTTGGACCTACCTCTGTTGTTTTTTTATTGGTGGAGCGCTAAGAAAAAGCTAAGCTTGGAGTTGTCTTTTCATTTTATGGTAGAAATTTATACATTCATCATGTAATTATTTTGTGATTGATACACGCACACATCTCAATAACGAGGTGTATACCCTTCTCTCCCATGGATGCGATACATGAGATTGATAGTAATTTTAAAATACATAAAAAGAATACGCTTTTTTTCCCCCCTATTTTTCTAACCATGCTGAAATGTGTTGAGCAAACTGAAGGTTTGAAAAACTATGAACTGCAGAAAAGAACTCATATAATAGATTTTTTTTATTAATGATATATAAGAGATTTAATTTCAATAGCTCAACCTCTCATCCTTTTCCCTAAAGCATCTATATCTACATAGCCTTGTTAATAGGTTGATTTACAGATATATGTGATTTTATAACTTGTGAATGTAACTTCCCAATCTCAAATAATTCAACATTCTTAAGGATATACTTAATTATTGTTTTTTCTTATTTTATTTTAACTAATGCCTTATTTTCAAAAGAAAAAAGTCGCAAACATCCACTAAATAGAAGCATCAGAAAAATTTTCCAAGTATATATTACAATTTCGAATAAAAAGAACAGATCCGAGAACTCCTAAAACAATGAACAATCACCTGCGATATTAATGTTCCACTTAATCTTGGAGAGTAAAAAAAATCTCATGATCATGACCCCTCACTCAATCCCACACAGAAGAAAAACAGAAACTTGTTGGAAAAAAAAATGACATTAAATGAACTGAATCATAAGGAAGTAATTAACTAGCATGGCCCCTTCATTATTATTTCTTCCAGATGGAAAGAGACTTGACAATTTATGAACAACTAATTATATCTACCACAGTCTTAAAATCTTGTGCAGCTTTCCCGTCTGCCCCAGAAGCAATTTGCATCGTCTTTTTCATCTTCAAGGCATTTTCTCTGATTTTCTTACCTTCTTCCTCAACCAAAACCAGATTCAAGCTTTGAATCAGTCCAGTTTTGGTGAAAACCCCACCTTCTAGTTTAACCCCAATCTTCCACAATTCCGCCACTGTTCTTGCAGCCATTCCATGATCTCCAAAGAAAGGCCTACAAATCATCGGTATTCCTTTGGCCATACTCTCAATCACTGAGTTACTTCCACAATGAGTCACAAAAACTCCCACAGACTCATGTGCTAAAACCTGTGTCTGAGGAACCCAGGGTACTATTTTCCCTCTTTTTCTTGTCCTCTCAACAAACCCATCTGGCAAAAGACTCTTCTGATCATCCCTTAAAGACCATAGAAATGGAAGCTCACTAGCTTCAAGTGCCTCTGAAACTTGTAGAAGCTCATGATGGGGAACGGGAACAACAGTTCCAAAGCTAAGATAAGCCACTGATCTAGAACCATGCTGATCCAACCACGGCAAGCAACCATGGGTATCTGTGTGAGATTGTGACAATGGAGGACCAACGTAAAGCAGTGACTTTAACTTGGACTCCATGTCTTGAACAAAGAGTGGAGGATCTAATTCCTCGTAGAAAAACAGAACCAGTGCTCTTGCTTGAGGCAGAAGTTGTCCCGTAGAAGCTAGTATTTTACTAAATACTGTCTCTTTATGTTCTTCGCCAGGTTTGAGTAACACATCGTGTGGTAAGTCCTCAACTCTCAAGTGGGACAACCCAGGAAGGAAATCCAAGGATGTGCTTTTGTCTGGTTCATGAGAATCACTGAACTTTTGGCGTATTAAGTGAGTGTAGAAATGAGGAGATACTGAAATTGAAAGTGAAGGCCAACAAGCAACCCAAGGGACATTGAGTTTATGAGACAAAGAAAGAGAAGGAGCACTCACAAAAGTGTCAGAAAAAATGCAGGTGACTCTCAGGTTTGTGCTTTTCACTGCCAAATCTATCGCCTGTTCAAGGTTCTCGAGACTGGCCTGAAGAAACAAGTCCACCAGTACTGGAACAGGCGCGAACTTGCCTGGCGCGTGATCCTCTGGAACTCCATCAGACACATTGTAGGGTTTGATGTTGTGTGGGATGTTTGGTTGGTCGGAGAAGAGAGATTGGTTGGATTTCGCAGTGCTGATGAAAGAGAAAGTGACATTTGAAGCAGCAGAAGCTAATCTGATGGTCTGGTTCAGAAGAGCCAGAGGGTGACTTCCAAAGGGGAAGGCAATCACAACAACGTGTTTATTCTCATCACATAATGGAGTCGCCATGTTTAGCAAGCCACAAGAAACGAAGATATATGCCCAACCACACACACACACAGTTTAATTTGGGAGCTTTTATGATCTGTATATCTAGCATAGAAGGACGGTAGGGCGAGGATAGCGAGGATATGTATAGGGAGAAGGGCAAGGATCGCGAGGATATGTTTAGGGAGAAAGACATATTTAATTATCCCTTAAATGTGGGTATCCTACAACTGGTTCCACCAAATGTTTTAATTCTTATGAAATCATTGATACTTCCTCCGCTCTTTTTTATAAAACCCTGGCAACTAAATTACAAAATTTAAAAAAATAGTTAAGAGTAATAAATATGTAAGAAATGAATTTTTTTTCTAAACATGCCATTATTTATAAGGGCAAGTAAGAGAAAGAAAGTATGAAAGAGAATATAGTAAACATTTTAATTAATGCAATATATAAAATTAATTAAGAACAAAAATAGTAAAAACAAGTTAAAAGTTCAGACAATTACGAGTTCTTATTTAAAAAAAAACCGAGATAATTCAAAGTTCAAGCTCTTATAAGAAGGACCAGGTGGAGTACCCTTTTGGAATTAATTTTTTTTCCTTTATAATTGCTTTCATGTAAAAAAAATTTTTTAAAAAAAAGAACTCCTACCGTCACTGGCGGCTGGAGAATTTTTTGGCGAAGGTTGGTCGAAATATAGGATAAAATCCCACTACCTGTTATATGGAGAAAATTATAATGAGATCTCAAAGAAGAAAAATAATTACATAACAAGTTTCAGAAATTGTCATTTTTTATTTCAAAACTTGTCATTACATACTGTTTAAATTGCTATTGAGATTTTTAATAACTATTTTTTTAGGACTTCATTGTAATTCTTTCTTTTTATTTCTGAAAAGTTAAAAACCATAAGCCCGCTAAAACTTCTTAATGATAATAGTGCAAAAGTTGGGAATTTTGTACCTGATGTCGCTTTAACTGAGAAGATTATTAATCAAGGGACAAGCACAGAATAATATCTAAAGCTTGGAATGTCATCAGTTTCCTAAGATATGAAATGGAAGGTTTTCTAAAAGAAAAATACCTGTGTTAAGTTACTTATAACTATTATGTCAAGCTCTCAAATTACACATAAACGTATGTTTTATATATTTTTCAAGCAGGTCTATAATTAAATGATATTAAATGCTGATATTTTAAACATATCTTGACATAGTAGATATAAGAAACTTGATTTAAGTATTGAGGCTTTTTTAACTATTTCTCCCTTTTTCTTTTTCTCTCTTATGCTATGCTACTCTGCTCAACGAATGGCAGGAAATCCCTTACGCAAAGACAAGTTATTTGTGCGTATAGAGGCTTAAGTAAAGACCGCGGAACGAGGACGTATGTATGATGAATAGATTTATCGTAATTTTTTTTTTGAGATCTTGAAATCTACTCCTTCAGTTCTTAATATAAAATTTATTTAACTAATTTGATTAAATTAAGAAAGTTAGATAAATTAATTAATTATAAGAAATATGATATGTTTTTTCTAAAACACTATAATCATCTTCCTTAATATCATCCCTCCCTCTCCTACTTGATTTGATTGAGGGAGTATTAATAGGTATCATTAAGAAAAATTGATAAATATGAGAAATATATTTTATGTTTAAGATCAAGATTAACTCAATAATTAAGTTTTATAGTAAAGAACGAAGGAGTACAAAGTTTTGCGATGCAATTATTGTTCCCTTTAATTTGTTCCCTCAACCGTCTTTCTTAGTCAAAACAATACAACTCATCATGAGTTTACCTTCTGTTCTAAGCATAATAATCCATGAAATATCTACGAGTTTTCCCTAGTCAGTCTTCCAACGTTCATTAATTCAAGAGGGAAAAAATAAGTTTTGGCCAAAAAAAAAAGAGGAAAAAAAGGGCAAGAGACTCCCTCAATTCCACTTGCACACCTCTGTGTGTGTGTATAGGCAAGTAAGAGGCATCTTATTAATTTCAAAGACTACAAATTAAATTCAATACTACCTCTTCTACTTAATATAAAAGCTAGACAACTAATTTAAAGATATCAATTAAAAAAATTAGTCAAATTAGTTATTTGTCACAAATATGTGTTAATCACAAAAATGTTTTCTTCAATTATGCGCATTAGATGATTGAAATTCTTCCTTGATGAAAACTCCGCACAATCAATAGGAATATTTTAAAAAAAATAAAAAACAAAATAGATTAAAGTCTTATGTTTATAATCAAATTGAACCCTTGACTAGTTCTTATATTATGAAGCTAAGGTAGTATTTGTATAACTGTCCAAAAAATCACAACTATTTGAGGGCCAAATATTGTGTAATCCATATTCGATATTATATTCAGTATAGTAATCGTCAATAAGTCCTTTGATTGATCTCCGGCGCCTCTGTTTCCATGGCGCGTTTCTGTTTAATGAAGAAGTACGACGTGTTAAATATGCAATTTTTGTAGTGTGTAAATGAATTTAAACCCTATTTGCATATACATAATCAACGAATTTCATTTCTCTTTTTGCTCTCCTTACTGGATTCATTTCAAAAACAATTCTTTTGAATTTTTCACATTTAAGAAAAAAGTCTAATCGAGTACATCATTGGTTCTTTTGACAACTTAATCCCTGTGTACATGGCAACCCTTTTTTCTTTTTTAGGGTAACTCATAAGTGATGATCTTACATGAAAGGCCAGTACTTATGTTAAATGTTTATAAGTGTATGTTCATATAAATTGAAATACAGCTCTTTTCATGTACTTATCATAAGTCTTCACGTACTTATCTCATATATTTCATAAATTATGATTAAAATAACTACTCCTCTTGTCCTATATATAGGATAAAGAGAGAAGATTTTTTTTTGTATTATTTATAAATCACTTCATTAAATTTTCAATGTAAATATATTATTTTGTTCTTCATTTATTATAGTGTGGATAGTTATTTCTTTTGAAAAGTATATATATTAAATATAGATAAAATTAAAAAATTATTATATTTTAATAGAAAATTAACACATTTTAAGATTTTTCTTAGTTTATATAAAATATATTAAAAGTGTTTTATAAATAGCATAAGCAGACTATTTTAAAAGGATTCTACTACCATTTCAAACAAGCCGCGACAGCTATTGCGTAGCAGCGCCAAAGAGAGACATATAGACGCTTGGCATTCACTTTGGGGCAATCATTAAAGCAACGCACCACCACAAGGTCACGAGATAAACTTGATGGCTTTGAACTTTGAACTACCGATTCAAATTATAGAAGTACTACGAAGCATGATTCAGAGCCACACACTTGTTGGAAACGAGATGACAACGACGGGGTGGGGTCATTTTAATAGCTTTATATATTTGATTTGATTTGATTTTTATGGTAGAAGTCTTTTAATTTTAATAAATATGGAACGTAAAAATAAAAAGAATATTATAATTGTTATTTTCAAAAACCGACCCAAGAGAACGGTATAAGTTTTATTATTTCAATTTTCAAAAATAGTAAAAATATATGGAAATTTTGGGAAAATTCTCCTATTAAAATTTTTATTGTGAAAATGACCTAATAAATTTTTGTGATAGGAAGTACGCAGAGTATTAATACTCTAATTTAGGTCCACAACAAAGGAAACTTTTCCCTACTTTCCCTTAAAAAAAAACAGAGAGAGAATTACTTGAGTTAAGATTTATGAGAGAGTAAATAACCGGGAGAATTGTTATAAAATCTCAAACAAAGAACATAATTACTAAAACGTCTCAATGATAACAAAATAGCTTATAATGACAAGTTTAAAAATAATAAATGATAATTGCTCACTTGTTTTTAAGACTTACTGCTAATTATTTTCTTTTTTAGGATTTAATTGTAATTCTCACTAAATAAAATATTGAACTGATGCTCTCTCTTTCATAGGAACGTGGAGACCATGGATTGAGCACTATGACTGATGGGCTGAATTAATTTAATTGATTTTGGGTGTGTTTGGATGAAACCAAACCGTGGTTTGGAAAAGTGATTCTGAAGAATAGATTCTGGAGAAAATAGATTCTGTGAAGAATAGATTTTGTAAAAAAGTGATTATGAGAAGTGAGAGTGTTTGGATAGTTGTTATCAGAAGCACTTTTTATATATACAAATTACTAAAAAAAAAGACATAAGTTAATATGATAATTACAGAAAAAATAGATTTTATGATATATTTTAATTTGAAGGAATAAAATTGTTAATAATATGTTTTTTACCAACATAATTAATAATACATAAGATAATATAATTAATAAATAATTAATGTATATATATATTTATAAAATATAAGATTAAATATATTTATAAAAAATATGTTTATAAAAAAAATAACAAGATATATATCATATAGGCCCTCACACTCTCCCTTTTTTCTCCAAAAGCAAAAAAATTTGGTTTTTCCAAAACCATGGTTTTGGAGTCAAAACCATGGTTTTGACCCAAAACCATGGTTTTGACCCAAAACCATGGTTTTAGTTTTTGGAAGGGGTGTTTGGGTGATTTATTCCCCAAACCATGGTTTGGGTCCTCAAACCATGGTTTGGGGTGTCACCCAAACACACCCTTTATCGGGGATATCAACCTCAATCTTTTTTCTCCGAAAGCTCTATGGCTTCGTTGATAGGTCAATATACAAATATGTGACTCTATAATTTTGTACTCTATGTAATCTTCCAGTCTAATGAAATAAGACTAGTTATTATACGTAGGCACCGTTTGGGTGACACCCCAAACCATGGTTTGGGGACCCAAACCATGGTTTGGGTGATAAGTCACCCAAACACCACCCCATTTTGCCCAAACCATGGTTTTGGGCCAAAACCATGGTTTTGGCTCCAAAACCATGGTTTTGGAAAAAGCAAAATTTTTTTACTTTTGGAGAAAAAGGGAGAGTGTGAGAGCCTATAGGATATGTATCTTGTTATTTTTTTTATAAACATATTTTTTTATAAACATATTTAATCTTATATTTTATAAATATATATACATATTAATTATTTATTAATTATATTATCTTATGTATTATTAATTATGTTAATAAAAAATATATTATTAACAATTTTATTCCTTCAAATTAAAATATATCATAAAATCTATTTTCTCTGTAATTATCATATTAATTTATGTCTTTTTTTTAGTAATTTGTATATATAAAAAGTGCTTCTGATAACAACTATCCAAACACTCTCACTTCTCAAAATCACTTTTTCATAAAATTTATTCTTTCCAGAATCTATTTTTCTCAGAATCTATTCTCCAGAATCACTTTTTCAAACCACGGTTTGGTTTCATCCAAACACACCCGTAGTAATCTCCAAATCTCAAAAGTACTTTTGGCTTGCAAAAGCTACATTCAACACTACCAAAAAGAAAAAGTTAGCAATGAAACTTTCTATTGCTATTGCTAATTTACGAAATTTTGTTGGTAATCAATTTAATGGTAGAATTTAGTTACGAATTTCACGTATTTTTGGATATACATAATCACTCTCTATATATATGGTCCATATTAATTAGTCCAGCAAATAAATTAAAAGGGAATGACGGTATTGGTTTCTAACCCAACTCTAAAGGAGTTATTATTGATAATATATAATATAAAATCTATAGAAAAGAGTAATTCATAATTCTCGAACAGATAGTGTGACTATTTTCAAATTCTGTGCGAACACAAGGGCAACAATTTAGTTTTATTAGTATTCAATTTTTATTTGTTGGAGTTTTGATTGAAGTTAGAGGTCAAATATTTTTATAGAATATATATGTGTGCCTGTGTTGATAAAATTAATACATTTTTTTTAATTAAAGCATAGGTACTCTTGTATTGGAGGTAATCCTATTCGAGATATTGTCGGGTACTAAATGTGAGTATCTCTCTTAACGGGAATTTAAACATTAATTTGTCATATTGTAAAGGACTAACCTATTCTGCTAGACCTTGTTGCCTTGTTGGTAAAATTAGTACAGTTAGAAGACTACATTTTCAGACCAATTGTACGTGGAAGTTTCTTTAGTTCTGACGCACTTTGGGCCACAACCAATTTTCTTTTGGGTGTAGAAGGGGAGTCTAGAGGCTTAAATTGTTGTGGGTAATACTCCTGGGCCATTTTGGGTTGCTCGTTGGATCATGTGGGGTGATATTGGGCCACACTTTGGTTTCTAAGGTTGATCTAAGATGCCTTTGAGTCCAAATGAGTTCTCTCCGTTTAATACAAGGGAATCGGAGGGAGGACTAATGGGGAGTTAGATCTGGTGAAAATGAGTAATTTCTCACAACATGATCAACCAAGATTCAAATCCTTACAGAAAAAGGGGCCCAACAAACTTAATCTACTCTAATTTGTCAACTAGCTCTTATATTAAAGACCGTAAGTTGTATATAATGATCATATAAGAATTTGCGGTATTTTCAAATTATAAATAGTTCATGTAGTGTATTCCTCAGAGGAGATGGAATGCCACGGGAAGGGCGGAGATCTCAAATATGCTCCATATTTAGTTTACAATACAAACAGGTTTAAAGGATTATTTATGTGGCATTGCCTTTCACATTCAGTGAGATGTGTAGAATTTAGAAAAGAAAGTTTGTTTGATACAAGCACGTGAAACACATATTTGAAATGAAAAATTACACGTTGATCCGTATTTGTGTCTCTGTCTCAACTGCAATAAGTACAATGAACAATGCTATAACAAAGTCTCTCTTCTTCCAGAATTACAAATATTACAAGTAATAGCTTAAAATCTTCATTTGAAAATCTATTTAAGAAAAACAAGTCCAGTGCTCACATTTTACTTTCCAAACTGCTGCAAATCGCATCCAAAATATGTGATTCACACATTAGGAAAGCGAACATCATCCACAAATTCAGAGTGAAGTTGCAGTGAAACCAGAGGAGTTTGTGTTGGAACTAAATGTTAAGTTCTGGTTTTGACTAACCTCTGAAGCATTGGTGGTGGATGGAATTGAAGATGATGATCCCACTGGAGGAAGTTCATGATATGTGAGTTCTGGATAGCTTAATGGAAGACTAGGAAATGGAACTTCAAAGTTAAGCACATTCATCGCTTGCCTTATGGAAGGCCTATGCTTATGATCAGGATGAGCACACCATAGCCCAACAATCATCAAACATTTGATTTGATCATGGTCAAAATCTCCTTGGAGTCTTGAATCGACTGCTTCAAGAATTCTCCCACTTCCATATAGTTCCCATACCCAATTCACTATGTTTATTTCATTTTCTGGAGCATTGTGGTTTATGCATTTTCTTCCACAAGCTAGTTCCAAAGCAACAATTCCAAAACTAAACATATCATATTCTTTGCTTGCCCTCCCAATAAAAAGACATTCAGGAGCCATATAGCCCATAGTTCCTGCCAAAGCTGTGGTTGGTGAACTTTTTGCGTGGTCTACGAGTCTTGCTAACCCAAAATCTCCAAGTTTTGCATTAAAGTTAGAATCTAGCATGATATTGCTTGACTTTATGTCTCTATGAACAACACATCGTTCCCATCCTTCATGCAGGTATAACAATGCAGAGGCCAAGCCTTGAGCTATGTTGAATCTTTCCGACCATTTTAGCAAATTTTGATCCTTGAAGAGATGAAAATCTAAACTTCCATTTGGCATATACTCATAAACCAACAATAGTTCTTTCCCTTTGTGACACCACCCAAGTAGTTGTACCAAATTTCGATGCCGTAGTTGACTAATAATTCTTACTTCCGAAGCAAACTCCTTCATTCCTTGTTTAGAACTCTCTGATATTCTCTTTATGGCTATGTAGGTGTTTGAATCTTTGAGAAAACCTCTATAAACCTCCCCAAACCCTCCTTGTCCTAATTTCTGTGCATCTTCAAAATAATTTGTAGCACTTGCTAGATCAGCATATGAGTACTCCTTTGGTCCTATTCCTCTTCCAAAGCTGTCATGCATTTGCTCATCAAACTCATGATCATCCTCTTCCATCTTCCTTTTCTTCTTCTTCAAGCCTACAAAAACCAAACTAAACACACAAATTAAAATAAACCCTCCAACCCCTAATCCAACTCCGAGTTTTGTCCTGTTATTTCTACTCTTCGGGCTCTGGCTCGGGCTTGGGCTCGTGCTTGGGTTAAAAGGTGTTTCTGAGAACTCATTTGGAGTATTCAAATCATCATTATTCGATAAGAAACTCCATGAGTTGATCTTATGTATTGCTGAAGTACTTCCGGTGGCAGCTGAGAAGCCAAAAGTAACCCATTCAGGTAGATACTTTCTCATATCGACTATTTGATAAAGATGTTGCTGCACAATAGTACCATTAACAAAGCCAGTGAAGACAATGCTTAGATTTTGTGTATTTGAGCTGTAACTGATGAAAACCTCATTAGTTCTCCCTCCATTGATATCAGCCAACCATGTCAAGTTATTAACAGATCTCATGGAATTGACATTGACGCCTACATGTTCCTTCGGAGGATCCCAATAATTCTTATAGATATCAAACTCCACAGCAACAAAAGGATTGTTTGTTGAATTTAATGGCTGGTCATCAAGAGTCAGACCCATAGAACCTCCTTTTGTGACATTGGGAAGCTTTGAACCAGCAGGGGCTAAGAAGAAAGCCAACCCATCTCCATATACTTTCTGCTTTGAACGAATCACAAAAGTGAAATGGGTTCTGAAGTCTGTGAGGTTCCCAGTGGCTTTGTCCCATAAACGCATTGGTCGGTAATATGTGGCTCGACCAACACTAGCCGTCGAGGATTGGTCTTGTTGGTTTCTTGTTAACTGGATGGATGGTGGTGCCGGGTAAGATGATCCCTCGTACGATATGTTTCTATCATTTGGGCTGAAACTAGAGAAGCTGAAGGATATGGAAAATGCTTGAGGGATGATCAAGAGGAAGAAAATTATTAAAGATAGCATCTTCATCGTCATTGCAAGAAAAACGAAAATTCTGATTTGGTTGAGAAATCCTATTCTGCTAAAAGTTGGATAGGAGGTGAGATGATTATAGAGTCCAAGACATTATTAAGGAAATTATGGGTTTTTTTCTTTAGCCTACCAATGTTTACCATTCCTTGCATCCACAGGTTTTTCATTTTTTAAATATTAAGACTAAAGACTGACCATTTGCGAGAGGCCATGCATTGAATCTGAACCTGGAAGTCATAAAAATATATATATATATATATATATATATAGCATAGGCAAGTGGACATAAACAAATGAGGTCTTTCTTGCTTTACTTTTTGGAAAGTTCGTCGAGATTTGGAAAGACATATAGAGTATAACAACTTGTTCTCCTTCTCATTATCATTATTATTTCCTTTCTACTCGTGATCTTGAGCCCCGCAATAATTCTATTCTACGCGTGATTTTTGGTCCACCATGATTATTCTACGGGAACTCAGAGTTGGAGAAATGTGTTCTTGTCATATTTGGAACTAGTGAGTGAATGATGGCTCACTTTTTTTTTTTTTGAATTTGACGTATTTAAAAAATTATAAAAAGATTGAAAATTGCACAATTTTTTGCCCATGATATGTTAAATATCACTCTTTTTATGCAGAATCTAAAAATCTAAAGGGGAAAAATACCTTCGGTCCTTAATATAAAACACAATTAACTAATTTGAAAAAATTAAGAAAGTTACTAAATTACTTTAAACTATTTGTATTTATTGTTTTTCTCCAAATTAATTTGCCTCATCTATAAATTGATATATAATTGAATGATCTACGTGAATATTTTAAAGAGATTGTTTAAGATATGTTATTCAGTAGTTTTATTAATCTCCCGAAATTAGTTAACTAAGTCTTATATTAAGCACCGGAAGTGGTATTTACTATTTAGAAAGTTGGGGAAATTAGGAGGAGGAGCAGAAAATGCCTCCTAAATAGTTTGGCTAACAGAGGGAATATTATATCACAGGTGGTTGTGACGCAAAACGTGCCGTCTCCCCCAGAAGCAATATTCTGCATTGTCTTTTTCATCTTCAAGGCATGCATTTCCTCTGATTTTCTTACCTTCTTCCTCAACCAAAGTCAGATTAGAGCTTTAATCAATCCATTTTTGGTGAAAACCCCCACCCTCTATTTTATCCCCAACCTTTCATAAGCATGTTATATAATTGATAACATATTTTATGTCCAAGCTTTGAATCAATATATGGTTGCTTCCATTAGAAAGATACATATGTGTAGCGCCAAAAACAAATTCTGATGCACTTTGGGCCACAATCAACTTAGGTGTAGAAGGAGAGTCTAGAGGCCTTATTTGTTGTGGGTAACACCTGTGGGCCGTATTGGATTGATCATTGGGCCTTGTAGGGTTATGTTGGGCCATGCTTTGGGTTTCAAGGTTGATCTGAAATGATTTTGAGTCCAGATGAGTGCTAAAAGTTTAAAATTACCCCTATATTGTTGGTTTTTGTTAATTAATAATCCTTTAATTATGTTTATTCCCTTGCTAATTATGAAGGGCCTTACATGTTCATGAACAATTGATTATTTTAAAATAAGACGACTTCCGTGTAAAAAGCCAATTTTATGTTTGGCTTAGTGGGGATTTGGATTTAAATTTGGACCTGGAACAGATCAATTATTTAGCTTTATAAAATTTTATAGATTTGGATTTGATCAGAATCCAAGCAAACTTTTTACTACAATTATCTTGAAATTTCAAACGCCTATTCCTCTTTAATTATTTCAAATCTCAACTATTCTCTTTCAATTCTATCCAAACATGTGGATAAAATGGAAAATGAGTATTTCCACGGTCTACTTGACATGAGAAACATGGAGTGATAAGGAGGAAGAAATTTAATGAGTTTAATCTAAGAAATTAAAGAGTTGGATTTAAAAGCTTTTGATTATTTTTTCTTTCTCTTTTATCTTATATATTATTTTATTAAAATTTTATAACCACATTTTTCTTATTTTTTAAATTGAACTCTTTAAAAAAATTTCTTCCCTTCATTTTCCTCGTTTTAAATATAAAGTTAGCTTGTGCTTTGACAGATAAGCATTCCTAAAGTTAATTAACTTTATCGAAATTTCTTGTTCTATGTGAAATAATTAACTTTCTTTTTCAATCAGAAATCAAATGTCATGCCTAGCAGACTACCTACACTGTGGTCTTGCAAAAAACATGCAGAAATTAACCAATGTGCCTTCACTGCCATGATCAGAGAGAGAAACTAGAGAGAAGCTCCAACATTAATTGATTCATCCAATCCAACCTTTAAACAGAGGACCAAGTTTTTCTGTTCCAACCTCGGAGGAGAAGCATATATATGTTCTACAGCTTCATGGATAGCCCTTTAAATGAAATGTGTTTCCTCTTCAGCAGTAGACATATTGGGCTTTACCTCTCGTTTGGTTGGAGGGAAATAGAGAGAAAATGAGAGAAGGGGAAATTTTAGTGAGTTCAATTTAAATTTTTAAAAAAAAGAACAAGTGGAGTTATAAATTTCAAAGTCGAACTTATAAAAACACTCTCTCATACGTATACACTGCGAAAAAAGCAATAACTTCATTGAAATGACAAAATAAAGCTCCCGTGAAGCAAGAAGAAAACTTATAGTAATTATTAAGCAGCATTCATTAACCAAGCTTGACTCCTGTTTTGTTTTTTTCCCCCCTTAAATAAGTAGCGTGACTCATTTATTTCTTCCTGGTCAATAACAAAGATTGAAATGAACTTTAGCTCATTAAGAGCTACTAATGATTTCCACCAAAGTCTTGAAATCCTGCTCAGCTTTGCCGCCTGCCCCAGAAGCTCTTTGCATCGTCTCTTTCACCTTCAAGGTATTTTCTCTGATTTTCTTCCCTTCTTCGTCCACCAAAATCAGATTCAAACTTTGAATTAATCCATTTTTGGTGAAAACCCCACCTTCTATTTTGACCCCAATCTTCCATATATCCTCAACCAATCTGGTAGCCATGCCTTGATCTCCAAAGAAAGGCCTACAAATCAAGGGCACTCCATTGGCCATACTCTCAAGCAATGAGCTATTGCCGCAGTGAGTCACAAACACTCCAATAGACCCATTTGCTAAAACCTGTGCCTGAGGAGCCCAAGACACTATTTTCCCTCGTTTATTTGTCCTCTCAACAAACCCATTTGGCAAAAGACTCTTTTGATCATCCTTTAGAGACCATAGAAATGGAAACCCACTGGCTTCCAGTGCTTCTGAAACTTCTAGAAGCTCATGTTGTGGTGGGGCCACCACAGTTCCAAAGCTGATATAAACCACTGAACTAGAACCTTGCTTGTCCAACCATGGCAAGCAACAATCTGGATCCATGTTTGTGTCTATGTTTGTGTCGGATGGTGATAAAGTAAGAGGACCAATGTAAAGCATAGACTGTAATTTGGATTTCATGTCCTGAACAAAGAGAGGTAGGTCAAGTTCCTCATAGAAACTAATTACTACTGCTCTGGCATGAGGCAGTACTTCTCCCATAGAAGCTAGTGATTTTGAAAACACTGGCTCTTCTTCATCAGAACGTGGTACGACGTCGCCTGGGATGTCTTCAAGTCGAATCTGGGACAGACCAGGAAGGAAGTCCAAGGATCTGGTTTTGTTTCTGTCAGCACAGTGTTGTCTGATCAGGTTAGTGTAGAAATGGACAGAGAGTGAAGTTGAAAGTGGAGGCCAAAGTGCAATCCAAGGAACATTCAGGTTCTGAGCCACTATAAGAGAAGGGGTTACAAAAGCATTAGCAAGAATGCAAGTGACTTTCTGATTTGTGCTTTTAACGGCCAAATCTATACCCTTTTGGAGGTTCTCAGAACCAGCCTGAAGAAACAGGTTCAGTTTCTCAAATGGATGTGCTCCGAGGACATGTCCCTCTGCGATTCCATCAGAAACATCATAAGATTTGATGTTTCCTGGGATGCTTGGCCTGGAAAAGAGAGTTTGGTTGGATTTAGCAGTGCTGATGAATGAAAATGTGACATTGGGACAAGCTTGTGCTAGCCTGATTACTAAATTCAGGAAAGGAACTTGATGGCTACCAAAAGGGAACACAATGGCTGCAATATGTTTGTTCTGAGATGAACTTGTCATATTGAACGAAAAGGTTGCCTATATATGAAAATGAAACAATAGAGAAGAACCAAAAAAAAAAAAGGAATAGTTTTGAAGATGAAGATTTGGAGCTGAGAAAAGGAGACATTAATATGGCTATGTATATATAATGGGGTAATGGGTCAAACATAGGAAATAATAAATGGATGTAGTCATGTTGAGCGGTGGTTGATTTACTTTCCAACATGAGCAACCTGACGCTGGTTGACAACCCCCACGTCTTCACGCTGTAACCGCACTCCAATCACTGTGACAGCCAGTTAATTAACATTATGTGCTTTCTTAACTTGACTGTAGAATGTAACATCTAATTAACTAATTTGAGTAAATTAAAAATATTCGTTAAATCAGTTAATATGATATGTTCTTTTTAAAACATCATAAACATCTTTCTTAGTTTCTTCTCTCTCTCTTCTACTTGATTATTATTGGAGGAATATCATTGAGGTTAATTTAGGAAAAAATTGATAAACACATAAAATAGATCTTATATATAAGAGCAACATCAACTCCTTAATTAAATCCTATATTAAAGACTAAAGGAGAATCCATTTGGTGTTTTGTATAAGAACTAGATAGCTAATTTAAGGAGATTAAGAAAATTATTTAAGTTAGTTATTTGTAGCAAATGTGTGTTGATTTTTCTAAACTATCATCGTTAATCATATGCATTGCATTAAAACTACTTCTTATTGGGAACTCCCTTATAGTCAATAAGGATATTTTGGACTTACTCCTTGAATTGAGGTCTTATATCTAAAATCAAATCCAGCCTACAACTATGCTTCCATTAGGACAGGAGATGGTATTATTTTTTCAAGAAATGCACTCTGGATATTGGAGATAAGTATATTTTTATAAATAAACGAGGTTGCTTCTTTTTTACAAAAAAAAAAAAGGGGTTTCTTGAAGAGTGAAGACAGGCCAATTCAGTGTTGCGCTATCAGTACGGACTGTGGAGATATTCTGGGGGCATTCTGAAAGATATACCTGTAAACTTATTAGCCTCATATCATCACAATAAATTAGTCAATAAATAGATATAATAATTTGGCACAAAACCCGTCGGTCAAAACCCGACTAAAACGCATTGAATTGATAAAACAATAAAAAATGATCAAACTAGCCGGTAACGAATCAGAATCATTGGTATTTCATAATACTTAACAGCTCTTATTAGAAGATCCAACTTTTTAAATCAATATGTCTCTTTTTATAAAATCTTCTTCAAGTTTATCTAAGCATTTAATGTGTTGTTACCTATTTTACCCCAATTTAATATATTTAATACATTCTCTTTTTTTATTTACCTTACTATTACTTTCTTATATCTATCCATTTATATATAGGGGTGTATTTGAAAAAAAATTACATTTGCTTCGTATTAATTGTTTTTTAACTAATTTTAATAGTTTTCTTAAATCATGTAATTTAGTTAAAAAGATCTTATAATAAGGGACAAAGGGAGTATTTGTATAAAACCATAAAGAGAATTGGTCAACTTTCAAAAAAGGAACATAATTACGAAAAAAAATCTTACCGACAACAGAGCAATTTGCAATGATAAATTTTTAAGATAAAAAATAATAATTTCTCGCTTATCATTAGGACTTATTAATAATTATTTTCTTTTCTTCAAACATCATTATAGTTTCCCCAAACCTATATTGATTTTTAACTTCTTAGCGGCCAACAAAAAATATTCTGATTTCAAAAACTAGAGGTCACGTGTTATTAAACACGTAGTACTCCAATCCTTAATATAATATCTATTTAACTAATTTGATTAGATTAAGAAAGTTAGTTAATTATAAGAAATATGATATGTTTTTTTTTAAAATACCATAATCATCTTTCTTAATATTCTCCTTCCCTCCGTTACTTGATTATGGTGAGGAAGTATCCATAGGGATAATTTACGAAAAAATGATAAATATGATAAATAAATCTTATATTTATTATCAAAATTAACTTAATAATTAGGTTATATATTAAGGATTAAATGAGTATTTCTCTGGTCCTATTTCTAGTATAGATTCTGTGGAGAGATAGTGCTTTTCTTTTTTTTTTCCCCCCTTTTATAAGTTATGATGTCAAATTTTCATATCGATACATGATTATACATTTATCTATTATTCATGAGAACAAGCCATTAAAGCATAGAATACTCCTTCTATCGAGTTTAAAGTTTGAAGCAATTCAAACAAATTAAATAATAATCAACTCATTAAATCTAATTAATTATATTATACTTCAACATCTATCTATTAATTCCTAAAACTATGAATAAAAAATATTTAATACTTCTTAAAATTATCAAATTTCTCATAAAAAAATCAAGAACATTTTTATAGAAGATGCCTTATAATAAGAACGAGAGAAAATACATATTAAAATAAAGATAAAAATGCAAAGTTATTAATTTTAAGATGAAATCATTGAGATTTTCAGATTTTTTTTTATTAATTTTCATAAAATATGTGGAGTTGTCTTATATAAGTAGGAGTATTAAATATTTTTGTGTGATTGAAATTTGAAACGCGCGTGCAAGACGAAAAATAGTTGAGACTTTGAGATGGAAAGTCGGTGGGGGTTGAGGCGTGGCCCGTGGCCGTGGGTAGCTAGTAGCTACTAGTCAATGAGCATTTGAAGGGCTTGAGTGCTTGACTTTGATTTCTTTCTTTGATTTTGTTTTGTTTTGTTTTTTCTTTTTTCTTTTTTCTTTTTTTTCGGGGTTTTAGGTGACCTGATCCTTCGGCTTTTTAGAGTGAAGGCTCCACCGCTCCAGTCCCCTTCAAAAATATTCCTTCTGTTCTTTTCCACAAGACAAGTAATAAAAATATAAAAAATGTAACATTTCTGTTGCAAATATCCTCACTTAGGGTGTGTTTGGTATGAGAGATTTGGAAGGGAGGGGGGGAGGGGGAGGGATTTTAATTATTTTTTTTGTTTGGCAACACACAAATTTTAGGATAAAAATTTTTCTCTCCCCTCCCCTCCTCAGCTTCCCCTCCAAAATTGGAAGGATTTGGAGGGAAAGGGCAATATTTTGCCATGTTGTGACCATTATGCCTATATTTTGTCATGTTGTGATCATTATGCCCATATTTTGTCATATTGTGACCATTATACCCATATCTTAAATAAAATAATAACAAAATTGTCCATATTAAAATATTTTCCCTCCCCTCCCCTCTTTTTTTTTATAAATTCAAACAAGATAATATTAAAATCCTTCCACTCTCCTCCTTTCCCCTCCTTTCCATTAAAATCTCTCCCCTCCCCTTCCTCTCATTGAGCCAAACATACCCTTAGGATGTGTTTGGTATGAAGGATTTGGGAGGGAGGGGAGAGAAGGGGAGGGATTTTAATCATTTTCCTTTGTTTGGCAACACACAAATTTTAGGAGGGGAGGGAAAATTTTAAAAATTTTTCCCTCCCCTCCCCTCCTCAACCTCCCCTCCAAAATTGGGAGGATTTGGAGGGGAAGGATAATATTTTGTCATGTTGTGACCATTATGCCCTTATTTTGCCGTGTTGTAATCATTATGCCCATATTTTGTCATGTTGTGACTATTATACCCATATTTTAAATAAAATAAGAACAAAATTGTCCATATTAAAATATTTTTCCCTCCCCTCCCCTCTTTTTTTATAAATCCAAACAAGATAATATTAAAATCCTTCTACTCTCCTCCCCTCCCCTTCCTTCCACTAAAATCCCTCCCCTCCCCTCCCCTTCCTCTCATTGAGCCAAACATACCCTTAGGATTTGTTTGATTGGAGGGAAAGGTAGGGAAGGGAAGGGAAAATGAGCCCCTCTCCTCATTTGGTTAAAAATTTTGAAAGGGAGGGAAGCCAAAATATCTCCTCTTCTCCCCTCTCTTCCCTTCCCTCCCTCCAATTTTAGCTCTCTTCCAAATTGGGGGTTTTTAGGGGAGCTAAATTTTTGGACTATTATACCTTTATGGTTTTTTTTAATATTCTATTACTACCCATAAAATATATTATTATAATATTTATTTTAAATAAAAAATATATTATCCTAAGTAAAAAATAAAAAATATAAATTATTATAATTAAAAACATATTATAAAAAAAATTATTTAAAAATAAAAAATTATTTAAATAAAAATTATAATATTATAAAATTAATTTTTTATAAATATATTATTTATTAAATATATTTTAAAGCTAAAAAAAAAGATAGCCTAAAGAGAATAAAATTTTATTTTTCTTAGAGCATATAAAATTTGTTAATTTGATTATTTTAAATACATTATCATATTAATTAGAATAAAAAATTACTGTACTAATTTTTTAATGCATATATTAACATGATAGAATAAAAAATTACTGTACCAATTTTTTTTTAAGTAAAAACAGACAAGATAAAGTATTCAAACCTTCGTTTGCTTTAAAAATGTTAAACCTAGATTAATCTATCATTCTTTATCATCACAATAATATTATTATCATCCTAATTAATATGCTAATCCAGATTTAAGTATTATCTCAAGTCCTAAATATGAATAGTTTTTTCAATATAATTTTCTTGCCTCCACGAATTTAATACAAAATTTATTTGAAAGGCATCACATCCCCTCTAACTTAAAGTTTAAAGCAACATATGGATGCCGGGAAAAAAAAAATCAAGAAATAGAAAGAAAAAAAAAACAACGTATGGTTGAAACAATCTAACTAGTCAACTTCAAATGGTTAATAGAAAAGAAAATAACTTCTTGAAAAAAAAATCAAAGCTTTATAGAAGAATTATTAAAAATAGTTGTGATAAGATATGTTACTCTACATTCAATAGGAGAAATCAGCAAAGGAAGCGCATTGAATAGAAGAAACAATAATTTACACTAACATCGTTTTCTCTCATTTAATTTTAGGATGTAATTGGTTTCATATTCAAAACTAACAAAACATAATTTTGGTGATGTTAAGCAGAAAACCAAATGTGCATTAAGTGCCATGCAACTACGAACTACTCTTTCTCCATCAAAAAAAAAAAAAAAACCTACGAACTACTCTTTC